TCCAAACTGACTGGAGCTGGGAAAAAACAAGTCACTATCAGAATGGTATGGAAACACACTCCTTCACCTCGTGCTCAGCACATGCTGGCACAAAACTTCTCCCCACTGCAAAGCAACCACCACCTTCCCTGCACCACGGGCAGACCATGCCAGCTATTGACTCAGCTGCTCTCAGAACGTTTCCTCCACTTCTCCTGCCGGCACAGCCGGCTTATTGCTGCCTTATGTAAAGTCAGCTACCAGCCTCTGAACTCAGGCTGCAGCTTTTCTCACTGAGCATGGAGTAGCAGGCATCAGAAACCTCCTCAGCCCAGCCAGCACCCTCGGAGCCAATGCTGATTGCTGACAGCAGAGCAAGGACAGCGGCAGTGACCAGAACCAGAGTCCATGCAATGACCTGCTGGACGCTGCCGAGGTTAAGCACTCTCCTGAAAAGTGCCATGGGGAGTTAAAGCTGGAAAGGAAAGAATCTGGAGACCTGAAATCCTTCATCAGGGTGTTTCAAAGCTGGGAAGATCTAAACCACCTGTCTTGTTTTTACTTAGCTGTGTGGGGCAGCACTGGGTTCCAAATTCCACCTGCCATTCCCAAGTTCATAGATTCACAGAATGGTCAGGGTTGAAGGGACCTCAAAGCTCCTTAAAGCTCCTTAAAGTTCCAGCCCCTGCCATGGGCAGGGACACCTTCCACTAGCCTAGGGTGCTCCAGGCATTATCCAACCTGGCCTTGGACATTGCCAGGGATCCAGGGACAGCCACAGCTTCTCTGGATAACCCATGCCAGGGTCTCAGCGCCCTCACAGGGAAGTTGTGCCAGCTGCTGTTTGGAAAGAGAGCACAAAGGCACTGCCTCAGTCCTCTGAGTTTGGCTTTTGTAGGAGTAAATCCCAGTTCAGTTTTACTGAACCAAAACACAGCCTGGCTTGCTTCTACATATAAATTAAAGGCACCAAAGAACATTAATGAGCACATTCTGTGATCAGATTTTACCTGATTAATTTTTTTAATCACATTTATTTCAGAAGCAATAAAGACTTGGACATGAAACAGGTCACCTGGTTACTTCTGAAAATGGAGGAGGGTCTGCCTACAGTCACGGATCAAAAACAGAGGGCAGGGATGAGAGGAGAGAAAGAAATCCAAGTAAATGGGCAAATACAGCTCATTCCTCCCACCATCAGCTGTTAATACAGGTAAAGATGTTCACAGTTATCTCTGCCCTTTTAACCTCTCTCCTCATTGATCCAACCATCAAGGACTAATCTTGGGCTTATGGCATCACACAGCTTTCTATCAGCAAAGTGCAATGACACAACCCGGTCGAGAATAGAAAGCAAGGAGGAGGAAAGTGCTAAAATGGAACAAGTAGTTATGGAACATTGTTACAAAATCCCTGGGTTAGCCTCTCTGCAGAGCACTCTGCAGAGTAAATGCCACAACGACAACAGGACCCAGGAAAAGTTTCCCCTAGCAGCATATTCTCCTGAACTCACTCCCACAGCAGGGCTGAGAGGTGCTATGGAAAACCCTTAGCTTGCCCATCATTTGGAAGGCAGGACAGGTATGCTGCTCCCCATTCCCTAAAACATGGAGCTGGGGCGCTCCTCAGGCTTTGCAGTGGAGTCATCAGACTTCAAACCCAGCATCCTCCACCCCACCACAGAGTCAAGGTGGCAGTGAGCCCGGGGGAAGTTCCACTTAGAGAGCCAAGAATACCTTATCTCGCAGGATAAGGTGGAGCTTTACTTTTCCCCTCTTGCAAAATCGGTTATTAAGTAATCTGTTTATGTCACACATACCAGCACTCCTCACAGGGGCATTACAGCGGCACAGCGTTACCTTCAAGGAAAGGAACGTGCAGTGCTCTAAATGAATGGGAAGGGTCCTCTCACACGGCTCAGGGCAGTGCCTCTCCCTGATTTCCCCCAGGAAAGCCAACTTGTACTTGCTTTCCTTCGTGCTCTGCCCTAGACCTGGGCAAACTGGGCTCTTCCAGCCAAGGAACTCCTCCTAACACGCACCAAATCCGCCACCGAGCCCTCTCGTGGATCCAGGCAGCAGGGAGGAGCTGGAGTGGAGTAATTTCCAAATGTCAACAGCTGATATCACAGCAACACATTCCAGTGTAGGACCAGGGTGAGGTGCCACCTGAGGGACGGACTAAACAATCCCTGGAAGCAGGCCCAAAGGACATACCTCTGTCAGGTATGTACAGTTTCTGTTAATGCTACATTTACTCAGCGAGGGCACAAGGGACAATTGTCCCACCCTGAAAATATCTCAATGCCTTCCTGACCAGAAATGCCCTCTTTTACCCCTCCTTAAAAAGCCAAGTCCTTCCCTCTCTCCTGCACCACTACATAACCAAATTGGTGGGTGATGTGGTTGGAGTTGCTACCTCCATCCCACAGACATCACTGACACAGTGAGCCATGTTCCTCTCTTCTCCCAAAGAACATGCCAAAGAGGGATGCTCAAACCGACACCTTCAAAATTCTGGCTTTGCCTCTCTGAACTCAAAACAACTTAAAAACAGCAAAAGCAGCCTGGTTCCAAGGCGTATTATAATCATCTGCTGGACACTTTCCCATTCTCTCCTGCTAACTCCTGCTGCCAGGGAATCCCTGAGTTCTACTGCCCTATCTCTTCTGATAAAGGTTACAGCTCCCCTTCTCCTCCCAGAAGGAACAGAAACAATCTCCTCTCCACTCACTTTCAGTGAAAATTAAGTCTCTTGACAGACACTCAGCTCCTTTAAAACACCCCACTCTAAGTGCAGGAATCTAACAGGGACTTAAAAGCATCTGCACCAAGTGCCAGCCAAAGGTCTGCAACCTGACATCTTAGCCCTTCCACTGGATCTTAAGCTGACAGAAGGCAGGGTTAGGTTAGATTAGATACTGGGAGGAAATTCTTCCCTGTGAGGGTGGGGAGGCCCTGGCACGGGGTGCCCAGAGAAGCTGTGGCTGCCCCATTCCTGGAACTGTTGGACAGGCCTTGGAACAACCAAGTGGAAGGTGTCCCTGCCCATGGCAGGGGGCTGGAATTGGAGATCAGTTCCAACCACAACCACTCTGTGAGAGTCCAGTTGATCCCACACATGCAGCCCATGACTGCACACTGGATACACACACACATCACTGTGGAGAGACAGAGGTAGCCGAGCACACACAGAGAGCTGCAGAAACACTGAGGCTGGAAACATGGAGACAAACAAGATCTCTCCGAAGTGCCAAAGCCTGCTGCAGTGCCCCAGATTGCCAGGCACGCCGAGAATTCCGGGCTGTCCCACTGTGCACAGAGCAGAGCGGCTGAGCAGCGGCTCCCTGGCCGACCCACCATGCACCAAACGTGCCCTGCCGCCCTGGCAGATGCCTCGGCCTTGGATGCTGGGTGATTTAGCTGGGCTGCTCCCAGGAGCCTGGCAGGAATCAGGCTGCCTTCAGCACCCCCGAGGGAATGAGCTGGCTGACAGCTCCGGGGCTCTCCGGGGGCTCAGCCCAGCAGCTCCGGCTCCAGGGGCCTGTCGAGTACAATTAGAAGCACTTGTTTCACCTCCGCTCCTCGCTCCCCCAGCGAGATGAGCTGTAACTGCTCTGTTAGCCCAGCTAAACCAAATGAGGATACCCACATCAGAACAAAGGATATCAACACACCACAGCCACAAACAGTACTTCAGGCAGTAACCTGACAGCCAGAAGGACCCTCCTGTGCTCATCACCAACCACCACTTGTACTCTGCTCCTGGAGCATCACACGTGGCCCTCGCACCTCAAAACAGCACGTAGCAACATTTAAGACAGTAAAACATAAAAGAAAATCCTCTCTCTCTCTTCTCAAATGTTTCTGCTGTGCCCAAGTGCCAGTTATTCCACAAGCAAAAGGCTAATACAAACCTGACCCTGCAGACAGCAAACAGCCTCATTAAACCCAATACGATGATTTATAGTGGCTGAGCACAGATTACTTCATTCCAGACAGGAAGAAAACACAGGCTTTTCGGTGGAAAGGACTGGCTTGGTTTGCTGGAAGTGTTCTAACTCCTCTTTTTAGAGACTATTTCCTCTGCTACTGCTGGATCCTTTCCTGTCCATTACTGGTGACAATGACATGGCTGTAACTCTACACCTTTCAACACATTTTCAGTCGAAAAGCCACAGGCATTTATTTGCAAATAAAGAAGTTAGAATAAAATTTTATCCTGAAGTCAGGAGGGGAAGGATAGTTCTGCAAGGTGAAATCCTCTCCCTTCTAGGTAAAGTCCTACCCTATCCTTCTCTCCTTCTTCTCCCCTACTAGTTTATCAAGCCCACAGACAACCAATCCTCAGAAAACAATAAAAAGAGAATTTGCTGCCATTAACTCACTCCTATCAGCTTCATCATTTTCCAGGAAGAAACTTGAAGTAAACTCCTTTAAATTCCTTTTACCTTTGGGATTTCACAACATTTTTAGTTAGAGAGAAAACAGAAACACTTCCAAGGGAGTCTACTCTTTTTCCCTATAAAGTGAGGAAACTGTTTTCTCTGTTGAAAAGTTCTCCTTCAAGGGAAAACCCTTCTCTTTATACCTCCTGAGCACAAAGGATGACCCAGGCAAACGTTCACTTCCTGCCTTAAGTCCACCCTGACACTTGGTACAAATTCTGCTGGTTTTCCCACTTGGCTTTTCCACCTGCCTCCACATTTCCAGGCTCACGACTGCAGAGCTGATAGGCAAGCACTGCAAAACTATTCACAGGGGAAAGCAAAATAAACAGCCCTGGTGCTTCCCAGCCATTGTGCAAGGCACAGCAAACAGGACTTTGGGGGAGGTGGTGGCGCGCAACAACGTTCGCTCCCGAACTGAAACAGAGGATTTCTCTAAAAAGTCACTTCTCCCCCGACCAAGCCTGCCCATGTCTCAGTCAATTTTAGGTCCAAGTACTGGGCAAACCAAAGGCACCCACATAAAACACCAAAGCAAAGGCATCCTTCCTCCCCAGCAGTCCAGATCTCTTACCTTCCACTTCTTCTTCATCGCATACGTGTTTAAGGAAGGAAGCCCCTCTATCCAGTACTGCCTCGTCCTCCATCCTATAGTAATAGAAAAGAAAAAAGGAATGCTCAGACTTCTCCTGGAGCGAGCTGTTTGAACCAGCCCAAGTCCTGGGCAGGTTAACTTGCAAGCTGTTGTTCATGTTCCTGTGGGCACTCCAGTCCTCCTTCCAGTGCCTGCTGTTCCTTCATAGAGCTCCTTTCACATGGCGTTTGCTTTAAGCTGGCCTCACGTAGCTCCGACTCTGACCTTGACAGGACATCAGTGGTGACAGGTGTGAACAAGGTAATCCCAGCTACAAGTCTTTGGGGGCTTTCCTGTTTGCTGTGTCTGGCTTTTCCCCCCCCTCCTCTTTGCACAGCCCCGCGGGCAGGCTTGGGGCTGTCTGTGAGAGCTGCTGGGATGGCGGCTTGCCTCTGAGGCCCAGCCGAGCGAGCGGCGCAGGGAGGGGAGCGGGCACACCCCACGGGGCCACGGGCTCCGAGCACAGCCCCTGAGAGCAGCACAGCACACTTGTCTGCTGGGAGCCCGGCTTTGTGTCACATGTTGGCCTCACAGAAATCTGACATATGAGGATTATCCCGGGACCGAGCTACAGTAAGTCAGATCATCACAGCAGTCATTTATGTGTGTCACCCATTCATTCATCCATTTGGGGAAGGGTTTTAGTGGCTGCTGTCCTTCCCCTCCCCTTTTCTCTCCACCTCTGATCTGCCTCTGCGGACAGCAGAGACTCCTAATTCCACACTTCTGCCATCGCCGTGCTTCCGCAGAGCCGCCCAAGACTCCTGCTGCTGTGGTTCCCCCACAAAATCAGAGCCTGCCTGCGTTCCGAGGCTACATCTGCAAATCCACTCTTGACAAGCAAATACAAAAATAATAAAGTAATAATAAACAAAATTGGAACTGTGTTAAATAATCTCCTTAGAGGCTAAGTACACATTTGCTGCTCACTACTGGGCAGTCGCCATGGGAGCTTTCTATCCTAATACAGCTGAGACCAAGCTGGTCACTTGTTTTCATACCAAAAATCAGACATAAAACAACATATTTTCCTCATTTTCCCTCAGGGAAATAGGAGCAAACTCAGTTCAGAGTGAGACAAGGCCTTCAAAACTTCTTCCTATCCATATTGCTTCCATTCAAAATCCTCTGAGAGCAGTAGCAGCAAACACCTGCAGATTATCTTAATGGAATATTCAAATTCAGGAGGGTACAAATACTGAACAGATGAATACTAAGAGTCCAGAATGCCTTAGGGTGTCTACCTTGCATGCCAATGCCTGGCCACCTAACTAGAAAATAAAAAATAAGACTCAGTCACAAAAGGAAGTACCGAGTCCCATTTCACAAAAGCAGTACCTCAGTAGCCACTCTCCCACCTCTGCCAAGTTGTCCTCCACAGCTTTAGCCAGCTCCTCCTTCACACAGGCTGTTTCTGCCTGAACTCCAGGAGCCAGAGGATTTGAAGCAGAAATTTCCCTGAGCTAGGAAAGGTGCCATTCCCCAGGCAGCTGCTGCTGGGTGCAAAGGGGTGGGACGTGCTCCTTGCCAGCACTGCAGACCAAGCCAGCACTCAGGCACACATCAGCCTCCCCTGAAAGCTTCAGCTCTTCATTAAATTATTTAAGGCTATTTATGTGTCTTTTCTAAGGCAACAGAAGGGAACATATCCCAGGGATACTCTTGCCTGTTTGCAATGATTGTAAAGGCACAACCCCATATTTTTTTCATTATTTTTTCCTGCAAAGCAGCACAGTAGCTCCTTGCTATAAACACAACTGGAAACATCTGGAACAGATGGGACTGGATTTCCAGAACAAACACAAACTACAGGAACTTTATTCCCCTGTGAAGTCTGTACTTAGCCTGGCATCCAGCTCCCTTCCCTGAGCACCCACACATGTGAAGGTGTGTAACACACCTGTGTGTCCCACAGCTCTGCCCAACACTGTGTGCCACGGCCAGCTCCTCCAGCCCAGGCAGCACCAGCCCAGGCATGGAGCAACTGAGAAGAAGCAGCAGCATGGCAGAGCAGAGAAAGGCTGAAAGATGGGAGCAATTTCTACTGCCTGCAAGGGATACAGTGCTGAGAACCAACCAGCTGCCATCTCCCTGGTTGAAGGTCTGCTCATCCTCCCCATGGCAGCAGAGCATCCTCCCAAGCATCACCCTGCCAGTGCTGAGCATCCACAGCAGTGGGAATGGCCCCCACCTTCCCAGGAACATCACCTTGCCAGCCTGGAGTGGGTTTATCACATTTAACAGCCATGCTTTTTTAGCTCCAGAGGGCTGGAAAACTGATCAGCAAGGCTGATGCTTTCCCTGAAACATGTATCTGAAGGAGCTGGGGGGTTTAGAGGGCCAGGAATAGAGCTTGGGTCGCCTTGGCACAGCGCCCCGGCTCTAATCCACAGGAGTTTAGTGATTAGACTCCAAGCACCACCTCCCTTGACTTGGTTTTTTCTGCCCTTCTCAGATTATCACAGGATTTCTGTGGGCTAAAATCTAGCAAGAAAACATCCTTTACCAATTTGCACGGGGAAATTATTTCAGCCTCCTGGAATTTTTCAAATACCGCGAAACAGGAGCTGCAGAAATTAAAAAGAAAAAAAGTAGTGATGCAGAACAACAAGAAAATCTTCCCTTGAGTCTTCAGGGAAGACTCCTGTTGGTGAAGCACTGCAGCAAGACCATTATCCCAAGGAAGACACACATGGACTGGAGAGAAGAAAGCATGGAAAAAATTTCAGGGCCTCTGAAGAGAAATGTGCCTCCAGTGAAGCCTGGTTTACCAACTCCTTTGTTGGAAGGTAAAGGGGTTTTCAGGCATTTCTTGTCTAGATCCACATCCTCATGACTGCTGCTGCAACATTTTGGAAACAAACCTAAAAAACAAAAAAAAATTAAAAAATACCGGGCTTCTATTTTCAGGGTCTGACAGAACATACTCCAGTGAAAAAAACATGAACTGCTTGAGTAACTGGCCTCTCTGGGCCTACGATGAGATCAGTGCCAAACATTTTTAGAAATGATGTTATGTGTCAATAGGATTTGAACAAGAGTCACACACGGCCAGCACCAACTCTGCTCTGCCTGCAAAGCGCCGGCAGATACGGTTCACAGGAATATTCTGCCCAGCTACTCAGGAAGAACAAGACCAATTTAGTACTAGCAGGGATCCTGGACTGGCTAATGGCTGCGCTCATCTGGCAGCATCTGTTCTGCTCATCACAAGGTGAATTCTTCCTGCGGGTCCCCGGCTGCAGCACCGAACACTCGCAGCGCATCTTCCAGGCAAAGCGGCGCGGAAGCTCGGAGTTAGCGATCCCAGCGCTGCTCCAGGCAAAGCAGGCCGGCCGCCAGCTCCCCCGGGAGATGGAGTGCTGCCACCGCACGGCTGCTCAGCTCCAGAGCTGCCAAACTTGGAAGAGCGAGGCCAGGAGAGAGGGAAAGTGGTGTTTGGAGTAAATAAAAAGGACTGATGTGGCAACACGAGATGCTGCGCGGAGTCACAACGAAGTCTTACAAAATCAGGGCGACAGCGCGGAGTCACAACTCGCCGCAGTGAATAAATGCCTAACAGAGCTGGGGAGCCAGAGGGGAGAGTTCCCGCTCACTGATAAGCTTTTACGATTCTGCCCATTTCCAACGGCTTTTGCAACCAGGAAGAAACCCCAACAAACCCTGAACTGCACCAGGAAAAAGAAACGGAGCCAGTTCCGTAACTGGAGCAGCGTAACACAGAGCCGTGAGAAAGTCACACTAAGGAGCAGCCAGCGAGCCGGGGCGTGCAGTGGGTCAAGGGCTGGGGGAGCAGGGAGCAGTGCCGGCCACAGAGCAGCAGCGCGGGGCATCGTGGGCTGAGCTGTTTGGCACGTCCCAAATCCCACAGTTTACCCCTGGATCTACCACAAGTACAAAAGGAGAGACTTGTTCTTGTAGGAAACATCCACAACCCCACACTGCTCCCCACAGGTGTAACCAGCATTAGTTGTGACAACCAGCATCATCCAGCCTTCAACTCCAGATGGATCAGCCAGACCTGAAGGCTCCCAGAGAGGGGACCGGGACACGAGCAGAGACAAGAGCCACCACCAGTGACACCCAGTGCCCTCACCAAGCCACCCAGGTTAGATGCCAAGTGCAGGAATGAGTCAGCAAGCCAAACAGGCTGCTTCTGTCACAGGGCTGAGGGGAGACAGAGATAACACTAGCCCTTCTCTCTGCAACCTGTGAAGCATTCAGACACTGCCATTGTAGTGAACAAGTAAACAGAAAACCAGGAAGGAGGCTTGGTCCCAGCTGATGCTCTCACAGCCCGTACGCAAATGCGTGAATAAACAGAGCTAATGTGACCGATTCCTTTTTAGGACCCTGATGTGCTCTGGTTTTCTCACATACTTGCATATGGGCTCTATCACACAGAAAAAAAGAGCTTCTGACTATACTCAGCACAGCCTGGTTGATGCACTTTTGGAACATGTTGCCAAATTTATCCTGGATGCATTTTCCCCTGTCAGCTCTAAAGCAGCATTTATTTACAAGCTTTCTCAGCAAAAGGCTGTACTCACCCGGAGCAAAGCAGGACAGAACCCTCTGCTTCACACACAAAGAGCTTGCACCGTAATATTTATAAACCAAATAAATTCCCAATTCAGTCACCTCATTAGGTGAAATGTTTCCCTCTACGGAGGTGTTCTCAGGGATTGAAATTAAGTCCCGTGACAGGATTTAAATAGGAGTCTCAGTTCTTGAGTAAATCTTGTTTTCAAAACTCTTACAGACTGGAACGTCAGGAACTCTAAATGTTTTATCTCAGCTCACAGGTGAAGTCAGTGAGAGCACCTTCCTGAAACCAAGATAAAAACCATTTGAATTCATGATGGCAAAGTAAGTTCTATCACCTGGATTTCAATTTTGGTCTCCGACAGCTTCGGAAGAACTCTTCAAGCTGGATGTGTTCCAAAAATGAAGCAACTACCAGGAAAAGCAATTAGGAGTGAATGAAGTTACAGCTTTCTTCTGCACAAACAAT